CCCCAAACACTCACTTAAAATGTATAACTTACCCCAAAACCCCATAAGTATAAATCTACTGCATAAATTGTAAGTTTAAAATATAAACAAAACAGATCATGGTAGAAAGAGACAATAGCTTTGAGGATGAACTTCAAAAACCTTTGTTAGTGGAGGAGTCCTTTACATTTGATGACAAGAAAGGTCTAAAGAGCACTGAAGTAGATACAGCTAATCCTCAGTAAAGCTTTAATGAGTAATTTTTAAACATAAGATAAATCGAATAGGATAAACTGTGCGAAGAAAGAGTGCAAAGTATTATTGAAATACCTTTCCTCAGCTTTTATTGTAATATGTCCCAAATGCTCAACTAAAACTGCTACTCAACCTCTCAGTAGAATAAGATGTGGAAAATGCAATGTGATTTTACTATATCCACTAGGAAGTAAGAATTGATATGTGATAATTTGGATATAGAGAAATATGTGTACTGCTAATGTTCGACACTGAACAAGGTACCAGATTAATGAAAAGTGTTTGCTTAATTTAACTATTGTAATCTTAGTTTGGAGAAATCTAAATTTATACTATATTCATCCCAACTTAACATCCATAATGAACACTTAAGTATTTTAATAAAGTTAATAATTATGCTTGTCAATGAATGTATCCGCTAGCTCTTATTATGATTTGAATGTAGTGTAGGCTCATAACTTAGCTCTGAAAAGGTCGTAGCTCTTTTTCTCAGTTGTCAAACTCATAGCAACTAGATCATCAGCTGTTTTTATACCATATGCTCTCGGTGCTCCAGACTCCTTCATTGCCTGATTATCTAGGAATTAGCCAGATTTCTCGCAGATGTACTTGACAGGCATGAATTTCTAATGAAATATAATTTGTTTATCAATGTGTGGGGTCTTCACTCCGACTAGCTCTCCAATGTCTTTAAGTATAACGAGACCAAATGGTACATCCTCCCAGAAAAATCTAGCTTAAAGATTGAGAGTAACCTTTTCTCCAGTTTTATCCACTGGGATCATAGGGAATGGAACTCTGCTGTATCCTATGTTAGTGTTGAATACTCTCTTGAGGGTTGAGGTATCTGATATCTAGCCGTCATACATTGAAATAATTCTGTCTTTAATTGGCATAATCTGAGTAAGATCAAGTTGAGGGTATTTTTGAAGCAAAGATTTTTTGATAGCCTATATCTCATCATCTAAATATTAGATTTCATCAGCACTCACTTGATCTAGTTCCTCATAGAGCAAGGGCATATCTTTAGCGTTGAAGGGAGTTTTACCGTCCCAGTCTTTGAAGAAACCATAGACTCTGCCTGGATGAATGATCTAGTTACTAGGGCAAAGAGTCAAGCTAAGGAAATTGGGCATTGGTACAGATGGGATAAAGTAAGCTAGCGACATGATTGAGCAGACTTCGTGCACTCTTTCCACAGGATAAGATGTCACATACAAATGCTTCTTAGGCCCGATAATATTTACATCTTTACCATAGTTAACTACTTTGCATAAGAAAGGAACGTATTGTAGACAGAAAATGGTCAAGTTTTTATTTTTGATATCATCTCCTAATACATAGCGAGCTTACAAATCAAATCCACCTTAGCCAAAGATTGAACCTACATATGCTCCTTCTTTCAAGTAAGGCTTGATTTATTAAAGAATATCAAGCTTTGTATGAGCGGGGGAACATATAAGAATGACTTATGAGCCAGGTATGACGTCCTTTGCATCTTTCGAACATTTGTTAATCTTTCCAACCATTTCTCCTTTGTGCTCCCAAGCCGACTTTACTGTGTGAGCTACAATTTGCTAGTCAAAAACTTCTGGTCTTCTTGAGAGAACATTAATCTTGTACTTAGGATTGTTGTGACCTACGATTGCAATAGTTCCATGACAGAGGTTACCTCCGCCACAAACTGCTACTTAAAACACTGGCTCCATAATATTAGTAGTATCAATAATACTTGGTAATTAAAATTAGATTTCAAAATAGGATTTTCATAGATTTACTCGGAAATCTTATCCCATGGGGTTTTGGGGTTTTGGGGTTTTGGGGTTTTGGGG